GTTGATTGGTGCGTCTTTTGAAAATCAGAATGAATCTGTCAAGCATTTGTTTTTGTTTTTTTCATGTCAACATTCTCAAAGTTTTTGGACAGACATAAGAAAGTGGATTAATCTCAAACTTAACATTCCTTCTTTTGATGCTGATGCCATTTTATTTTATGTGGATAACTTAAGCTCAGCTTTCTCTGATGCCATAAATACAGTTAACAAAGTTCATGCTCAATAATCAATAACTATAGTAGTACTTAAGTACCACACTGTAGTAAGTGGAGGGATAATAAGTCCTCTTTCCTGTTTTTTGAACACATTTAAGTCCTACTATTCTTCATTAAGTAGATTAAAAAACTGGAAAACTGCTCTTACAACATATATCTAAAAAAGTTATTGTTTTAAGTTTTTCATATAGTCTTGCTCCTTCGTTCTTTTTATTATTATTTTTAATCTTTCATTATTTTGTAAAGTCCCCTATTTTGTAAAATGTATTTATGACACCTTTCACAAGAGTTTATATTTGTATCTTATTCCATTGTTCTGGTGTTCTGTTTTATGTTGTTAATAAAGTTGTTTTTTTTTAACTTACGGCGACGCGTGATGACGTATCATCGGTTGTTGCCAGTAGCAACCGCTTGTTGTCTTTTGACTCGTAAGGATTTTTCTGATACTTTCCGGTTGTTTAGCTACTTAAAACAAGGTATGTGTCGAAAATGTTAAATGTTTCTGTGTTATATTTGATTCTTTATTGTCTTTAAAAACATCAGTCACAATTCCCGAATTGTCACTTTAATTTTTGTAAAAACTGAAACAAAAAACATTTAGGATGTTAAACCTGGTTAGCCAACAGCTAATGCTCCAGTACGTTCAGTAATATAAACTATAATTAAAATCGATTTTTACTGCAGTCAAAATATTTGTTTTTAATAAACAGACTGTTTGATCAAGAGCAAAAATAAATAATTTCCATAATTATTCCTGAAAGCCTTTTATCACGCGCCCGCGTGGACACGAATAAATACATAAATATGGAACCACCATTCTTAGAGGCTGCTCTTTCAATCATTTAATTTTGTATAGAATAAATAAATACATGCCACAAAACTACCAGTTTCAATATTCCAAACTTCTTGTGTTAAGAGAAAATACATATATTTGCTGTAGTCGGTCACAGCTGCTTTTTAACATTAAGTAAAGGAAAGAATGACATCATCACTGCACTTTCAGTACTTTAACTCACAAACTGTCTCTTGTACAGTAACAGACCCAGCTAATGACCAACGATACATCAACCTGGCTCCTTACTGCTGTTCCCAGGTCAGCTCTGCAGGTCTTGTCATTGACCATTTTCTTCTATTTCCACCCAAACCTTCTTCACTGGGCTGAGATCTGGACTGTGTGTAAAATCTGCTGCAGACATTACCGGTATAGTTTTTTTTTGCAGAACAGTTTTCACGTGCTTGGTCTTATGGCAAGTTGCATTCTGATCTTAAGAAATCCACAGTAATCTGTAAACGTTTTTCATGTGGTGAAATGAGACGTGTCCTTGGCATTTGTAATGACTGAGCTGGAATGTGTTTGTGCATTCAGGCTTTTCTTGAGCCCACTCTCACTTTCTTCTTTTCTGTTTG